AAAAGTTGCCTTGAAAGTACACGTAGTTTGACCTGATTTATAACTGAAATCTCAGCGGCACAAACACTAACAAGCACACACAGCACTTCAAACATATTACTTCTATGAGCTGGATTAGGCTGTGTAGTAGAGAAAGTTGAACGCACTCCACCAATGAGCGCATATGTATCTGTGTCAGTGAGGGAAAGTGTGTTGTAAACTTTCACCCCATTGTCAGGCTTGGAGAGCATGAGCCCTCAGTACAGTGTTCTTTTTACAAAAAGAGTTTCATTAAGGACGGGACGTGGGAAAGGGCTCATCCTTTGCTGAGCCCTAAAGACATTTGATTGGCTGCTTGGTTACTATAGTTGTAAGCGGTGACAACAGTGATTCGATAAATGTGCAAGCCGCCAAGTTGATCACTTTGTGTTCATTGTGTGTGGTCATAACGGTTTCAACTGCTTATTTCATTATGGATAAACTTTTATTTACTTTGGGATAGAGTTGGGAGTTGTAGGGAGGAGGGGCTCAAGCCCGTGAACCCTTCACTACCCACCGCCACTGCCCTAAGGGTTCTGAAATATCGATTGTAACATTATGACAATGTATGGGTTAGGGTTTGTGGTGTTATGGCTGGATTATCGCTAGGGCCAATCCCAGTTTACCCCAAAATTAATGGGGAAATTCCTGTTTATCACCATTATCAAGGCTCTTCTCGATATGATCACATTGATACATCTTATGCAATTGTTAATTCTAATCTAAGAAAGGTACTTTCTGTGATTACCATTTCTATAACTATGATTGCAGGTCCTTGAAACATGATTTTTGGGTACATTGCTCTTTTCCTTGACTTGTGTGTCTTTTTCGAATATCTTTTTACTTGGATGAAAATGATTTGGAATGCTGCCTCTTCAAATTTCTTAATTTTTCTGTAATTTATTTTCAGTTGAGATTTATCATTTTAGTCAAGGATGTGACCAAGATATATCCATAGAGTTTCTGTATCATCATGTTGCATGCATTTCATTGTTAAGTATTTTAAATCTGATGTAGGCCTATTTACACAAGGAAAGAAGCAGATTATAAGCTGTTCATTGTAAAGACCAGTATACATCTGCAGTTTAAATGCAAGGATTGGAAATGACTCAAGGTCTTTTATTAATCATTTTTCAGTCTGCGGTCCTTATTCCTTTCTTTTTTTTATATTTAGCATTGTTAGTCATCATGTCTGAAATAGTGTTTCATGGGAGTTCGATGGGTACTCTAGTGTAATCTACTTCTCCTTCTTTTTATCATTGCTGTTGTGCTGTACCAATAATTTTACATACCCTTTAAATTTATTGGAATTTTCTGAAGAGGCTAGCCGTACTTAATGACGTGTAGACTGCTAGGCTCTGTACTTGATAATAATGACCAGACTGACAAACAACAAAAAATAGGCCAACTGAATTGTAAATAAACTTTTAGTTTGCAATACCTAAAGTATTTGTATTTGAGACGAAACCAAAAGGTGCCTTACTGACAGTGCATGTATTTTAAACCTGAATAAATACTAATGAGACCTTTATACTCAACAGGTTTAGGTTCAATAGGGCCTAACCTAAGTTACTTAATAATGGCTAGACTGGCAGACTAGCTGTACTTAAGTATTAAATTTATTTGCTCAGCTCTTCCTAAAATATATTTGATGATAATATAGCTATTCATTGTACTCTGGTGAACCAGATTTTAGTCACAGATGTAAGGAAATATCATCGTGGTATTTGACATTACTCCTGGGGTATTGTTCTTAAAATCGCCTTTGGTGTTGAATTTGATGATTGTCTTTGCAGGGCGAATTTCAACTGGACGTTCTTTAAGAGGTTCTGGAGAATCGTCTGCCTTCTCTTCCCCTCCATTAAGAAGCCTGGGCCGTTGCTATGCATTTTCTTGCTGCTGTTGTGCCTGCTGGGTAAGTTCATTTTACTTTTATATGAGCTTGAGAGAGGCCTGATAACGAGAAAGAGGCTATGAGTGAAATTTGGCCTTAATATTTAACAGTAGCTCATTCATTTTATAATTTTTTAAAACAAATATTTAACTGTAGCTTAAACAATTTATTCTTTTATACAGTAGTGAAAAGATATATTTTTTGTTAGTATAAGATCTTACACTTTAATGACCTGGCTTACTCAAGTATCTTTTTTTATAAACCAATTATAGGCATAGCGCTTTGTTTCTGATACAGACAACTTAAAAAAGATCATTATGCATCATCCTTCACCAAAAGTTATGGTGAATTAAAAAAGCCATGTATCTTGCTGAGCACGCTAAATTGATTTTATTGGTCAGGAACAGAATGTTATGCTTGACAAGCTGTCAGGTTGCTCGTCTTTCTTTGAAACGCACTGACTGTTTGTTGCTTTTGAATAATTGATACTCCCATACAGGTCAAGATTTGAGATAAACTGAGAAAAATATGTCACCCATTTTAGGTAATCACTTTTTTCAGGCCTTTTATCACATTTATTTTGACAAGCTTCTTCATGTTTATTATTGCTGTTACAACAAGAAAAATAAGTTAACTTCAATGCTTTTGACATAACCATTATGTTATGCAGTGTATGGATGTATTTAGTTTGTCTCTTTGCTACTGTGGCACCATTTTGTCCTTGTCAAGAATGGTGACCCTTTAGAGTGGTGCAATCTCTTTTGAAGCGAAAGAGGAGACAAAAAAAGAGAGGGGAGGGGTGAGAGTTTTTAGAATTATAATTACTTCATCTTTTCTTTCTGATTGATGAAGATGATTGTTGGCTATTGAATTCATCTGTTCTTTTTATGTGAACACACTCCAAAGCACACATATAGCCTACTGTTGTGTCAGATAATACATTTGCAATTGTTGCAGACAGAAAGTTGAATTAGTTGATACAGAAAAAGAAAACCACACGAAAGGATGTTTTTTGCCGTAGACAAGAACTGCTAGCATGCTGTAACTTAATTGATAATGTAGTACAATAATGATCTTACTGTGCTCTCATTATGGTTGTTTCTGTATTTTTTTTGGTGTGTGTAATCTTATAAAGTTATAGTTTTGGGAAATAACAATACATGCGTAATCTTCCTTCTTTGGGGTTGAAGTAGGTCAGGTCCGTAGGAGTAAAAGTTGAAACTGGAAAATGTTCTGGCACTTGTGGCTGCTGAATTAAAAGGTGATGGAATTATCTGTGTGTGCGGCTGCTACGTAAAATGAATGACCCACGCTTACTGGTAGGGAGATTAAACGTTTAAGACCACTGGGAAAAAGTCAGCAGGTGTTGAAAAAAAAGGTAGAGGTAAAGTGTTTCAAATAGGGAGAAACAGTTGGTAGACAGTTTTCATTGAGAGAAGAAGAGAGTTGTAGTGCTGATAAGATGATTTTCCCCAAGAAGGGCTAGAGTAAAGTCGGGCGATTCTAAGAGTAGTCTGTTATCATTTATAGACGGTTTGGGGG